CGAAGCACGTGCGTGCCACGCACGGTGCTTGCGTCATCCGTGCTTACTCCTCACTTCCCAGTTGACCTGCTCAATGACCACGCACAACACACGTGCACAATACCAGGTGCTCCGCACGTGCAACGCACGTGCAACGCACCAGATCTCTACAGTATATTAAGACAACTTGACGGGCGACTGCCAACTCGTCTCCAAGATGCCCAGAAAGGCTCAGAAGAAGACTACCAGACAAGACCCAAAGAAACGGGCCGCGGAAGACACCAGGGCGGCTAGTGATGATGAAGTTAACAGGAGGTGCACGCACTTACAACGTGCGAGTGAGTAATGCCCCTGTCACACTTCTGCGAATAGACTTGCGTATGAGCTGCGTACGGACATTTTTTATCATACGCATCCGTACGCAAACTGCGCACTTCATATGCATCTCAGTCGTTTTGTGTAAGTTTAGTGAACGCCGGCATACGCACAGCACACGCACCGCCCGGCTCAGTACGCAGCGTAGTTTTGAGCATGCCCAAAACTACGCTGCGTACGCTGTTACGCAGTTCATGCGTTTTTAATATGTAATGCATCGGTCAAGCACGGTATGAGCACGCTATGTCTTCGTGGGGGACACGCGGCTCATACGCTGATCTGCACCTGCTGGGACTGCACCTGTGCATAAGCTGCGTACAATGGACAAATGCATTGCGTACTTACAGCGCTTTAGTACCGTTGGTATTGCAACAGGACAGCGCATTGTACGTATTTGTAACTAATGAGAAGCGCAAAGGTAGCGTACAGATCTAGATAGCGAACTTGCCGAACACCTGGGCTACACCCGGGGTACCGGCTCCTCTAGACCCCATGGTTAACAGACCTTCTGGAGATTGGCTGTTTCTAATATGTTTTGCTGAAAAGTAGATGATCATTGGGAAAACGTCTTTCCTAAAGTACAATGTTTCACAAAAATGCATTTTGACACTTTTTAACACAAAAGAACACCCTTGTACCGCCTCCCCAAAAATGATGTTAGGACTGGCCATTTTGCATATTATGAATATATCTATATTTAACATAGAATGTTTGCTTTTTGTTGCCTGTCCTTTGGGATGATACGTCAGTTGCCTGTTTTTGTTGTTTTTTTGTCCGAGAAAATGTGTAGTGTACGTAGATTGGTACAAAATAGTTTATAAAAATGTAGGAGCATAAAAGCTATGGGCGAATATAAACTCAATGTCATGAAACATCTAAAGATGATGAACTTATAACAGTAGCCGCTTTGAACTGTGGTTGTAATGCAGTGTCGGTATATATCAAGATGGTAGTGTTCACAGAGATGTGTAGTGTCCATGCTATCTCTGTGTATGCGCAATTGTAAATTGGCAATTGTATTTGCAAGTATGCGTGTTTTCATTATTTTCAAATTATTAAGGGATGGTATTTCTGGACATCTCCAATTCATCAAGGCTATTAACAGTCTAACTGTTATGTTTGTATAAAGTCCGGGTACGTGTATTTAATTTACCTGACAATATATTACAGGAAATTGACCAGGGCTGGGGCGAAATGGAAACAAACACATTTTATCTGAGTTGAGGGCGGCCCATGAATGACTCGCTGCGAATGAAACAACAGGAAGCAGCAGGGAATACGTACACAAGACGCTTGGCATTCGTCGGAAGACATTCGGTGGGAATACGTTGAGAGCGTCCGGAATACGCCTGGCCTTTGCAATGCATGCGAACGCCATACGGATGACATGTGCAATCTATGCGCTGAATTCGTTATTTATACGCTACATGTGCGTCACAGTACCCTCGCATATTGTGCGTACAGTAGAAATGTCTGTACGCAACCCATACGCAATTGCAATTCGTGACAGGGCCCTAAGGAAACCGTGCGTACGCCGCACGTGTAGGTACGGCCTGTACGCGGCAACGTAGCAATCGCACAGAGATCGTGCGTTGTAATCACGTACAACTCACTTACCACTTGCGCAACGTACGATGCACGCAACCGCTGACGGCCAGGCGTGTCGTGCAGACCACGTACGTACACCTTGCGCAACCGTGCGAGTGACGTACTCCCTCGGCCGGCCACCCTACGTTTGCAGAAAAAACGTAGCAGACGTAGCCACGACAAAAACGTACGGACAAAAAGCACGCACGGCGAGTTGTGACCGTCGCTTAAAGTTCTACGGCGTGTCTGCGTGCTCCCAAATCCGTAGGATTCCGTGCGGAGGCGGTACCCACCACGCACGGATGCCCTACGTTTGTCCACGTTTTTGCACGTAGACAGCACGCAGAAGCACGTACGGCGGGTTGTGACCGAGGCTTTGTAGACACCGAAACCGAGCCACGCTTACTCTTCTCGGTAAAGCCTCTTTCAAAATATGACCTCCCAAACGGAGCCATGTTGATTTGATTATATGGATGACATCCGCGCGCGCACGGATTTTCGTCCGTCCCCCCCAAAAAAGATACTGTAAATTGTACAAACTAGCTGCAAAATGGGCATATATATTCCGTAAAAAAATATTGGAAAATGATACTAATGCCTCAGAATAGCAGAATCCATTCCAACGGACAAGAGGAAAATGTGAAGGAATGAAAATGAAGAGTCTATTATTCACCATGCCAATGAAATACAATACAATACAATAATGTGTATTTAGTCATTTGTTCAACCTTCATGACCACCTAGATTTCATAATGAAGGCAACCATGTTTTGACAAATCTTTTTTTTTTATTCACACGCTCGCCTCACTTTTGGGGTTCCCAGAGGATGCCATCCATATAATAAAATCAACATGGCCTAATAGGATCCTTACTGGCATTAAAAAAATCTCAAACACGTTAAGAATGAGGTGTCACGGCTAGGTGTTACGCAGCTTATTCCAACTGTTTAAAACGGCTATTTTATTACTGGAGGAGGTTTGCGGTTATGAAAAAACAAGCAAACTAGAGAACGGACATGCGGCCGAGATGAGACTAACTAAGAGATCCTTGAAAATGTTGCATGGTAATTAAGCACAGAAAATTGAGCACAGAAAATGTCTTACTATTAAAAAAGAAAGATTGAAAAAAAAGTTTAATAAACACAATAAACTCCAAAATTCTTCTCTGTAACTAATGAGGTCACATTTCAAAACCGGGGCCCGGCCGGGCTGTTTGGATCAACAATTTATATCAACAATGAACGCAAATAGTTACCATCGTAATTTTCAAAATTTCTTTTTTTTTTGCCTTTTTTTAACATACTTGTCGTTCCATAAGACTGCCCGGCCGGGCCCCGGTGGTAAAAGCACGTACAGATATTGTTTTTTACAGATTGCAGGAATATAGGCAGGCACATAGGCAGGTAGGCACATAGGCAGGTAGGCACATAGGCAGGTAGGCACATAGGCAGGTAGGCACATAGGCAGGTAGGCACATAGGCAGGTAGGCACATAGCTAGGCAAGCACATAGGTAGGTAGGCAGGATTGCAGGAACATTATTTTAAAGATATATTTACGTCATTGCAGGTTGATCTTCCTCAGTGTCGTCATTTTTGTTTTCAGGACATTTCCGGATCCAGCTGTTCAAGTGATAATTGTGTAATACATGTCAAAATGTATCATGTAACATGGATGTTCATTATGATACACATAATGTCTTAATTACATAATGTTATATCTTGTGTGTCATAATGAGTCTAAAACATTCAAACTTACGGGCTTTACAATAACCTTTTGTGTAAATCACTTCGTATTATAATAGCCATCATGTATTCACTCTTATAATTACTTATAAAAAAAAATATAGGGAGCCTGTCTGTGTATGACTGGGCTATACTCTCTATTGCATGTATGTGTTTAAAAGGCGTTTTTGTTCTATATAATAAGTATATTCGACATGCCTGGTTTTGCATTTCTTTCCATCCTTATCCTTTTTCTTGTCCCTTAAGCCATTCCACCATGTCTTCATTTTTGTCTGTATTTGCTGCCCCGGCATGTCGTCTTGGCCACTATGATAAAGGTAGAAGAAAAACAACAAAAACATAGAGGGAATCTGGGACCAGACCATACAATCAACCGTATATTGATGCTTGTCTTGACCTTTGCAATCAGATTGCAAATTATTTTAAAAACTGAACATACTTTTAATACTTCATGACATAATAATTATGTTAATAAAAGCATCTTAAAAAACTGAAAAGACTTCTAATACTTCATGACATAATACTTATGATAAATCATCAACACGTATCATCAACTGAACCCAACAACTTAAGATATTTTTAAAGGCTTCAATATGATGTTATTTACAATATGGCCGTCGTTGCTTTTCTTAAATGTTAGTCCTGTACTTATTTTTCCGTACTAATATTTTTACTGAGTAGGCAACGACTATGCAGTACACAGTGTATAAGAACATTATTTTGAAAAACATATTTACGTGTTTGGTTGTTGAATGTCCTCAACGTCGTCATCTGAGTTTTCAGGACATTTCTTTCGGAGCCAGCTGTTCAAGTGATAATTGTTAAACATGTGTCCAAAACGAACCATGCAATGAAAAAAAATTTCAGCATGATTCATATACATACAGTTAATACATAATGTTACGTATTGTGTGACAACTTCGGCTCTAAAATATTCATACATGCGGGCTTTACAAGAACATGAGTGCACATTACTAAGGTATTACTACAATAGTTATCATGCACATCTTTATCAGCAGCGTTGTTTTTGTCGTCTCTTTACACTGCACGAAACCAATATTTAAGGCCACACCACCTTAACTTTATGGATGACATCCTCTGAAGACCCCCAAACTAGTGCGCGCGGGGGAATAAAAAAAAACGTCCAACTAGAAAGGCCAATATTTGCTTTGGAGCAAATACAGCGATGGGTTCACGACATTTTACGACATGGCAGGGAAAGAATGAGAAACACAAGGAAAAACAATGATTTACATTGATATAACTATAATATGAAGTAACATACAACTAAAACAACAGTTGGATAGCTATTCCCTACTTTATTGGTTAGGATTTTTAATTGCATAATGCAAACTGTTGATTTTCAAAATAAAAAAAAAAGTTCATGCCCCGCATTCCAATGCTGGAGCAGAAAAGCTTGAAATACCTACCAAAACACTTGAATAAAGACATACTGCCAGTATGGAAATGCTCTGTGCAGGTGTTAATCAAGTTAAATCCCAACAGCCAATCAGCAAGAAATGCTCTGTGCAGGTGGAAATGCTCTGTGCAGGTGTTAATCAAGTTAAATCCCAACAGCCAATCAGCAAGAAGTATAGAGGAAAGCTGCATGCCTATTGGTTGATGCCCTGCATTCCATTGTGATGACTCA